AGAAGGGAAAAGGAAGGGTGTGATTCACCTGCATGGGAGGCTCAAGCAAAGCAGAGGAGACGGCGTCGCACACGAGTAGAGAAAACGTTGTCCAACAGGCAGGAGGAGGAGGTGCCATCTTTGTTGCGCTGAGGAGGAAGAGGCGACGAGTTCGTGTGCAAAGGAGTAGCGGATGGAAGGACGTCGGCGACTCTGGTGTGGATTTGCAAGCAGTCGAGGCCTTCGACTAGGCTATGGCTCTACCGATGTAAGTCTTCAAATGTTTATTAAATTGATAACAAATTTTAATTATATATATATTAACTAGAAAGAAAAATACATATACAATGTGATGGAGGGCCCAAACATGATACTCTGCTCACAACAAAACCACAAGGGGTTCCACAACTAAAAAATACTGAAAAGCACAATAGAGACAGAAAAAAAACCTAAAAATGCAGAAATACATAGTATCGGATGGCTAGAGAGTACAAAGAAAAAACCTAAAAATGCAGAAATACATAGTATCAGATGGTTAGAGAGCAACCCAATTTGGTTTTGCCTTTGCCTCTGGTTCTAGGAAAGGAGCAAGCTAACAAATTGGTAAGATGATTGCAATTGTCAGTAGTAACAAATGTATCATCCAATATGTTCCCGAGCTGGTGTCGGCCTCCATTCTTCTTCTTCCTCCTGGAATAGACCTGTCATTCCTCTTCCGAAGATTGACTCACCTGATCTTGGTCTACAGTGTGCTGGAGATGTGTAGATTGTTGGACAATAGAAACAACCACATGTTGTACCGACTGATCTGTTATTGGATCAAAGGAGCACTCTCGTGTCTTGACATGTTAGTCTTCTTCAATAACAATAGGTTGTATAAGCACAACTGGATCTGTAGCTATAGTATGTTGTTCTTCTTCAAGAACTGCAGTGTTGGGACGAAGATTGGGTTGCATCTTCTCAACAGGGATAGTAGGTGGTCGTTCTTTAGCGATATTCGGCCTTAGATGAGGATACAAACGATAGCAAATAATAGAACTGTGACCAAACATACTACAATGAGAGCAATAAGGAGGATGTGGTTCCATTTTAACCTTTTGCCAATGCCCGTTGTGCATAGTGTCAATCCATATCCCATCCGGAGCTGGTTGAGTGATATCTCTCTCAACTAAAACACAAGCCACAAAGGGTCTAGTAACAGCAAGCGTAGGACTATTCACCTTGAGAGACTTACCGTAAGTAGTTGCTAATGAGTAGAGAATTTTCATGTTGAACAGATGTAATTTTAACCCCGGAAACTTTATCCAAACAGGAATGATAGGGGACTCCGTTTTTGGATCAAAACCGACAGTCCACTTCAGAAGTTTCATAAAACGATTGTCAATCTTGATAGCTTTTAGAGAGCCCAATAGTTTCATAGTATCAAACACCTTCCTAATGATCTCCAGTTTTGGGTGACCATAAAGGAATTTCCTCACTAGAGAGAAACACCAAAAGGACGCGAGAGTACCGGTTTCAACCTCTGTGAGAATAAGTGCAGACTTCCCTTTTTTTTCAAGTTTTTTAATAAAAGTGTGATCACCTCCATCTTCAAGAGTCTCATGGAAAGATTCTGGAACATTGCAGGACTTACCGATAGCAAAACCAGACGCTGAACCTGGAGGAGGGGCACGAGCAGGAAAGTGGCCGACAAGAACATTTGCATAGGAACAGAGCGTCGATGCCATCTCCCTCACAAGACAGGAGAAGACAGGAGAGAAATAGTCTGGCGGGCAGGAAGCGAGCAGACAGGCAAACAGGAAACCTTCTATCGGGCAGGAAGCGAGCAGAAGGCGTGCCCTTCTACGAACATGAGCGAACTGCAGACAGGGACAACAGATGAAACCAGAGCTTGAAACCAGAACTCGAAAAGGGAAACAACGCCGAAGCCCTTCGTCATATGGCGCGAAGACGACGAACGCAAAGCCCTTCATCGTCGTCGTCGAGTGCGAGAAGTTCGTCGTCGAGCACCAGAGAAAAGATTGACGACCGAAGGAATCAAACCAGGGTTTCGCCTTCGGGCGAAACCCTAGGAGAGCAGATGAGGATAAACATTTTCATATATATATATAGAATAGAAAACCAAAATAAGATTACATAAAGTGAATGTAATATTTAAATAATGAAAAGATAATAGTTTATTAAAATATTAAATTAAATAAATTTTATACCATGTTAGGTTTTCAATTATTAGAAGAGTCTACATTAGCGTAAATTAAATATCAAATTACTCGTCATCAAAATGAATACTTACATTCTTATACTATGACCATATTTTGATTCTTCTAGACTAAATGCATTTATTAGTATTATCATTATTTATATTGAAATTACAACAAAATCATGATTTTGAATTTTAATAAATTTTATTTATATTGTACAAATGAACTTTGTGCTCTGCTTTGCTTAATTTGAATCATGTATAAAGATATTGAATGCTATTAAAATGAAAAGAAATAGTTATTATTAAAAAAATATTATTTTTATAGTATTCTTGCATATGCATATTTGTCTATGATGGAGTCAACTCTTGATGACACTAATAGAGAAACATTAAACTACTCGTGCACGTATATGAAAAAAGAAATTAATATGGATGTGCCTTAACTGACAATTTTTAGATAATGTTCCTGTGACGGTTGTACAGAAATAGAATGATATTGATACGCTATTGTTATAATAAAGTTCTTTGAAAACATCAAATATTTTTATTAATTTCTTAAAAAAATTAACTAACATACAAATTATTTTTCTTTTCCTTTGTATTGTTGTAGTTTAAGAGTACGAGTATTCACTGATTTGTTTGGCTTATTATTATTTTTTAAACTAATTTTTCAGATTAATTTAACTGATTAAGATGAGCGATAAAAAAGTGTATAAAAGACACGAATAACTAGTAATTAGGTAAATTTAAATATTGCTTTAATTTAAATGATTTAGCGGCTCTTTCATTTGATTAATGCTAGTTAGAGAAAATAAATATGAAAAAATTCAATTCTTATTGTCCGACCGTTTGTTCCAACCTTGGTTAATTCCAAACCCTGGGTTGAGTCGTAACACTTAGTTCTTCAACTGCCCCTTCCTCACTCACTTCCTCCGCGATGACCTGCTCAATGAAGGACACAACCCAACTTATTGGCAATTGGAAGCAATGTGTTCAAAACCATGACATCTTAAACATTTTTTTGCTAGAACCGTACTAGATGTGCTATTCTTCTCAAGCCTCTTCCCGCATTTATCTACCTTATCATTCCCCTGACCTATCTCCCAACTCCTCCAGGCATGTTTCTGCTAACGCTTCTAGCTGCAGGAGGCTATCTGAATGTGGACCGGTATATGCTTTGCTTTTTTTATCACTCCACCTTTAGTGCTAGTCTGCACATCCCTCGATGTCCAATAGGTTTGTAGCTGGACCACATTACAGATGGTAGATTTCATAACCCCCTAGTACCTGACCAAAATAATTTCTGATAAATAAAAAAATTGTAAGATTTACACCCATGTTGGCATTTGAATTTTGGGCACATTTATAGTTAATTCCTTGAGAAAAAAAACCACACAGGGTGACATAAACACAATGCTACTAAGGCGATTAAGAAAATGATGGGGATGATGGTGGTGATGATGATGTTAGTGACACTAGTCAAAGTGTACATGTAAGCTCCAACCAGACAGATGTAAGTAATGGCAAGGTGAACAATATATCCAGCAGCATTATCATGAAAATAAACATTTATAGATGGAATTAATAAGAGAGGCGACTCATCGCTAGAAAAACCTATTGGCATAGTATTAGGATGAATCCTTTTTATAATTAATTGATTATTACAGGGCTTGGTTTCTTTTCATAAAGTTAATTTAAAAAATAAGGGGGGCAAAGGTGTTATTTGAAGTGGTTAACCATAATCTAAGTATCCCCACTAATTGGTGGCATCTACAAAGCCAATGAGAGCCTATATCAAGCATGACACTTGCCACACACAAAGAGGTGAGCAGATTAAGCCTGCCTAATCCAATCTAGACCTCACAAAATAGTGGCCAATTTCAACTGGTTTGAGCATTTAAAAACTTGACTTGATCCTCAAAAAATTATCTAGGGTTTCCTCAGGCCACCAATTCAATTAAGCTAAGACAGATTGGGTTTCTCAATCCTTCAAAGACTTCGAGATTGACAATTCACACCAGATATGAGCTTGATCAAATAAGAATTATAATGGTTCCAAAAAATAGATTTGAATTCCTTCATGTAATTAAAAATATGAACAGCGAAAGAAAAAAAAAACTGATATTTGGACGAAAGCTCAAAAGTAGCTTCCCATAAAAAACAAGAGTTATATTGCGTTCCAATATCTATGAGCATCAAGATTCCCTACGGAATCAAGTGTTGGTGATTATATGCGTTCTAAATTGTGTGCATTATGATGAATTACTTCAAAAATTGAAATATGATGCCTTTTTCTTCAGATTGGAACCTATTTCCTTTCTATTAAACCCCTAATATCCATTAGATTTGATAACAATACAAAAAGTTCAATAAGATGGTAAAGAAAACATTTAAACAGAAAAAGGTACTAGGACAAAAAAGCAGCCAAGTAGGGTATAGCATGTCCTTGTGAAAGGGAGTAAAAACCATAAAACACATTAAACCCAACTACTTATGATTTAAAATACCATTATTATAAAAAAAGAGTTTTACATTTAAAATACCATTTATCTTACCAGCCATGGAAATCATACGTCACTTAATACAAATAAACTATATATGATTACCCAATAGCTGGAAAAAAAAAGAAGAAGAAAAAAGATTTGAGTCTCTAGCAATACATTCAATGGACGAACACATCCATCTATAAACCAAAAGTTCAAAGGTTACTCTAATTCGCAAATCAGAACTACAGAAACCAAATTTGCTGAAGAAAGTCCTATGATTAACTACGTAAAAAAACAAAAAATCATTGCATTATATTAAATTTGTCACGTACCATGGAAAATTTCTGAATTAAAGTTGCAGTCATTTGAAATTAGATAACTTTGCAGCCAACCTTCCCCTTACTGTGCTTAGATCACGGCGTTTTCTCTTTGATTTCATTGTTTTAATTGTCCTACTCTTCCTTTTCCTCGTCCTAGTTTTCCTTGCCTTGCATTTACTTCCTTCAAGACGCTGGCGTCTAATTTCAGGATCAGCCCAACCTTTCCCCCACTCAGAGAAGCTAGAATATGGCTTTTCATTTTTAGATGATACTAACATGTCTGCATAAGGATGAGCATAAAAACTGCCTTCTGCATCGAAATTCAGAAACTTCATCCCCAACATGGTCAGCTGTGGAAATTTGATTGAGACACGAACCTGAAAAAATAAAATTATATGGTGGAGATGATTGCATAAATGGCAACACAATGACTGCCTAATTGTCAGTAGATAATCAAATAATAAACAAAAAAAGTTCAAAAGTAGACCTCCAAACAAGTGTATGATGGTTGATTACTAGAGACTTAGAGGCCGTTTGGGATCACTTTTATTTTATGTTTTTTATTTTTTTAATTTTACTTTGTTTTATTTATCTTTTGATTTGAAACAAAAAAAATGCTTGATTGCTTTTAAAATAACTCAAAACACTTAAAAAGTTATTTTTAGTATTTTCGATAACATAGTTTATTTAGAAATAAAAAATTAAACATGTAAAAAACACAATAAACATATATATTTTAAAAAAAGAAAATAAAAGTAAAAAAAAAACAAAATTGATCCAAAAAAAACCCTTAGTCCAACTTTCCAAAATTTTCTTTTTACCGGTGGACCTCAGTGGCCAATGATTACATGGAATCACATCGTTAGTGTGCATGTTTTTTCTTAAGTGTCATAACCACAATCAAGCTATATTATAGGTATTTAAGTGTTGGACAATATTAATCATTGATAGCTAAATTGAGTATGATAAACAATGAAAATGAAGATGGTTGTGTAGTAGAACTAGAGATGATAAATTAAGGAATGATAAAGTAAAGGAATTGTAAAATTATTAACTATTAAAGGCAAGGCAATAAATAAGAGCTCAAATGACTTGGATAGATGCAACAAAGAGCGGAAAAATTAGCCATATAAAAAAATATAAATAAAACTAGCGTCCAAGAATTTCGAAGGAAAATGGGTACACCTCTAGTAAAATGGATAGAAGTTGATATTTCTACAAAATAGATTTAATGTTTCATGCAGCATTAAACATGGACGAATGAGAAAAAAGAATTCATAAAATAAACATAAATAATCGGGATAAAGCTAATGATAATGATAAGCAAAACTATAATCAAATCTCCATTTTTTTGGGATGGAAACTCGAGATTTGATTTGTTCACAGCCAAAACCACACCGCAAAAAAAAAAAAAACACTAAATCTAGAAAACAATAAACTAAACATAAGCGCACAACAATTAAATATAGAAAAAGCACAAAAAAGATTTAACATGAAAAAACCTAAGAACGAGAAAAAATCATAGTCACACCACACCAAAAATTCCACTCTGAAAGAAGAATAGTACAAAATTACACCATTCGGATCCACTCTCGAAACCACTGGAACTTAAACAATTCCCGCTCATTCCTCTCTTGATCTCAAGAGAGAAAACACTTGTTGAAATCTACCCTCTTAACATAGACACCGCTC